GATGCATGGATGCATGGATAGACGGATGGATGCATGGATGCATGGATAGACGGATGGATGCATGGATAGATGAATTGACAGATGGACAGATGGATGGATAGATGGATAGATGGATGAATGGATGGAAAGACAGATGAATGGATGGATGGATGGATGGACAGGTGGGTAGATGGATGGACAGGTGGGTAGATGGATGGGTGGGTGAGTGTATGGGTGAATAGATGGACAAAGAGGTGGATGGATGGGTGGACAGGCGGATGGATGTGTGGATAGGTGGATGGACAGATGGGTGGATGGACAGACAGACAAGTGGATGGATGGATAGATGGATGGATGGATGGGTAGGTGGATGGATAGATAGGTAGATGGATAGGCAGATGGATGAATGGACAGGTGGATGAATGGATGGACAGGTGGATGGATCAATGGATGGATGGATGAATGGATGGATGGATGGATGGATGGGCAGATGGATGGATGGATAGATAGGTGGATGGATGGATGGATGGACGGATAGGTGGATGGATGGATGAATGGGTGGATGGATGGATAGATGGATGAATGGATGGATAGATGGGTAGATGGATGGATGGGTGGGTAGATGAATGGATGGATGGACAGACGGGTAGATGGATGGATGGGTGGGTAGATGGTGGGATGCATGAATGGATAAAGAATGAATGAATGAATGGAAGATTGGTGAATAAGTTAGTGTTTTGATGGATGAAGAATGGATGTGGAAGAATAGATGGTAGATAATTAGAGGATGGATTGATGAATGGCTAGATGATTAGATAAAAGAAGACTAGATTAGTAGCTGCATTGGACAGATTATTTGGTGGGCGTGTGGATCATGGATCATCTGTAAGATGCTCTGTGCCATGCCTAATTTGTGCATAAGGGTTGTGTTGGCTACAGCTGTACATGAGGTTGTAATTTCTAATGTGTGCATGTATGCATGTGTGTGCATGTGTATGGATCAATTCTGCTCCATACCCAGTCCAATACATAGCCAGGATAGAGCCTTCCTGGTGGTTGCAAGAAGGTGGCACCTTCCCCTCCTCTCTGAATATCATCCTGTCTCCCCCTGCCCCTACCCTAGGCTCGAAACAACTGCTCTGGACCCTTGGATCCCGGTACCTTTCTGAGCTCTGAATTCCTTCTTCCTGAAGACCCTAAGACCAAGATCCCACCTGCTCCTGTACCAACTCCTCTCCTTCCATATCCCACCCCGGTCAAGGTGCATGGCTTAGAGCCCTGCACCACCTCCCCCTTCCCCACAATGGCTCCACCTCCCGCTTTGTTGCCAGAAGAGCCTCTCTTCTCTGCCAGGTTCCCCTTCACCACAGTCCCTCCTGCTCCAGGAGTGTCTACACTTCCTGCACCCACAACCTTTGTTCCCACCCCACAGCCTGGCCCTGGCCCTGGGCCTGGCCCTGGCCCTGGCCCAGCTCCTTTCCCTGTAGACCATCTGCCCCATGGGTACCTGGAACCCATCTTTGGGCCTCACTTCACCATGCCTCAGGGTGTGCAGCCCAGATGCAAGCCCTCTTCCCCATCCCCCGGGGGACGAAAAGCCAGTCTACCCGCCTTGGCCTCTGCCACCAATACTGCCAGAGACAACAACCCCTGCCTTACACAGCTGCTCAGGGCAGGTGAGATGGGAGAGGCAAACGGAGGAGGTACTGGGAGGGAGCGAACCTGGAAGGAGTAGGAAAGCTTTAAGGGTAGAGGGCTAGGGTTTCAGGGTGGTCTTAAGGGACAGAGAAGGTGGCATGAAATTAGGGATATGAGCTATATCTGATAGGGGTGTGGGCTGCTGGGGAACAAGAAGGGGTCTTAGTTGGTGATGGACTTGATTGGGCCAGTCTAGTGGTCCTCATAGTCCTGCCTGTACCCAGCCAAGCCTGAGCAAGCACTGGAACCTGCGACTGTGCCCAGCACCCTCCTCCGGCCTCCAGAGTCCCCGGTAAGATGGTGGGCACTGGAAGGGAGGGCTCAGACTAGGGCCTTTACTCCAGCTCTCTGCCCTTCTCCATCCCAGCAGGATCCAGTCTCTGAAATCCCTCGTGCCCGTGCCTTTTTCCCCCCAATCCCGGCCCCTACACCACCCCGGCCACCTCCAGGTCCAGCCACATTGGCTCCTCCCAGGTCCCTGGTTGTCCCCAAAGCAGAGAGGCTCTCACCTCCTGCATCCAGCGGTAAATAGGGGCTAGAGAGACTGTGGGTCTTAGGGGATGGAGGGAGGGGAAGGATGAAGGGGGCTGTGAGTGGGGTCAGGGCAAGGGAACTTTCTCCCTTGTGTGTCGGTCTGTCTGTGGGTCTGTCCCTGCCACAGGCAGTGAGCGGCGACTCTCAGGGGATCTCAACTCCATACAACCCTTGGGGGCACTGAGTGTCCACCTGTCTCCCCCTCAAACTGTCCTAAGCCGGGGTCGTGTAGACAACAGCAAGGTATGTGCCATCCCCTGACCTCCAGTTGGCTTCCAGCCCTTCCCCCAGCCCTCCTACTTAGACTCACAGCACTTTCTGCTTTCTAAGATGGAGAACCGACGCATCACACACATCTCCGCGGAGCAGAAGAGGCGGTTCAATATTAAACTAGGATTCGACACCCTGCACGGACTGGTCAGCACGCTCAGTGCCCAGCCCAGCCTCAAGGTGAGCCCCCAGCCAGAAATGCACACTCCCTTAGAGTCGTGGAGCCCCTCCTTGGACCAACACCCAAGACCAGATCCCAGGGCCTGCCAGCACAGAGGCCCACATTGGTGGCGCTCGCAGGTGAGCAAAGCAACCACGCTTCAGAAGACGGCGGAGTACATCCTGATGCTGCAGCAGGAGCGGGCGGCCATGCAGGAGGAGGCGCAGCAGCTGCGGGATGAAATCGAGGAACTCAATGCTGCCATCAAGTAAGCTGGGGTGAAGCCCAGCCTAGAAACCTGACACAAGGGGTTGGAGGTGTGGCTCTGAGGTACCGCGCCTGCCTAGAATACTTCAGTGAAGGCCCCTGGGGGCGTGGTGCAGTGGTAGAGTGCTTTCCTAAATATCTGCTAGTAAGGGTTTGGGGGCGTGGCTCACCGATGGAGCGACGGCCCCAAATCCTCCACTGAGGAGCTCCGGATGTGGTCTGTCCTAGGGTGCTTACATAGAATATGTAAGAACTGGATTTCATCCCAAGCACGTTAAAAAACAAAACAACAACAACAAAAGTACTCAGAGACTAGGGTAAAGGAGATGTGTCTATATTCCTTGAACGACGACTCTTCCCAATCCTAGCTTGTGCCAGCAGCAGTTACCAGCCACCGGGGTGCCCATCACACATCAGCGCTTTGACCAGATGCGGGACATGTTTGATGACTATGTCCGGACCCGCACGCTGCACAACTGGAAGTTCTGGGTAGTATCCTTATTTGGACTGATGGCCTGGTGACTGCTGTTGCTACCGTCAATGTAGGCTGGGTCTCAGACCACAGGCTGAGCTGCAGAGCCCCAGGGAATGGGCTTTGGTTCTGCCTCCTACTGTCAGGCCCTGGGATTGCAAGATTGTGTGGCAACTGGGCCTAGGGGCTGAGAGGAAGCAAGAGTAGGGGGAGGAGGTTGGGGATGTCTCTGAAGGCAGTCTGGAAGGATCTAAAGTCTAAGTCCTTTGAGGCCTAGAGAAGGCAGAGGATCCACTCTTCCCTGGATTCAGGGTCAAGTTGTGTTTGTTTTCTCATACCAGAGATGGAACATGAGCTCTGTCCCAGCCCTCATTTAACTTTTTATTTTGAGACAAATTCTAAGTTGTCCTGGCTAGCCTTGAACTCGTGATCCTTCTGCCTCAGCCTCCTAAATGGCTGGGATTATGGGCCTGTGCCATCAGACCAGTATTCACATCCTTGACTGAGCCTAGAGATGTGGGATTCACTAATACAGAGTGAGGGCTCTGGAGAGACTAAGGAGAGGGGCTGAAGATAGAGAGTGGAATACCCTTGGTGGGACGGAGGAGGGTAGAGTGGCTCCCCACAGGGTTCATGGTTTGACAGTGACAGCCTTTCTTGGCCCTGGCTTGGGTCAGGTGTCATAGTTCTATGTGAAGTGACGGGATGCTGTCTGGACCACTGGTGTGCGCCTTGACTCCACATCCAGTTCAGCATCCTCATCCGACCTTTATTTGAGTCCTTCAATGGGATGGTGTCTACCGCAAGCTTGCACAGCCTCCGCCAGACCTCGCTGGCCTGGCTGGACCAGTACTGTTCCCTGCCTGCTCTCCGGCCAAGTATGTGAGACACCTTCCTGCCACTAAATTGTGAGGCTTTGTAGAGCACCTGCCTAGCATCCCCCAGTAAGGGCGGGGGTGTGGCTTAGCAGAAGAGCATTTACATCATATATAAGACCCTGAGTTCAATCTCCAGTGATACACATGTATACACGTGTGCCCACACACATGTACACATGTGCACACACACATACTTGTGGGATTCCAGAACATAGAGTTCAAAGCCAGCCTTTTTGGTCTCCAAGTCTAGTCTGTCTTGAATACACCCTAAAATTTGAGGCTATTCTACCATGTCCCATGCTGAATGGTCCTTTAGACTCTCAGTCACCTAAAGGAAAAGGTCCTAGGTCAGGGCCACCTGTTTAGCTTTCTAGTATTTACTCCATGTTCTAGACTTCACCCCTAACCTTAAAGACATGTGTCTTAGTTAGGGTTTCCATCGCTTTGAAGAGACACCATGACCAAGGTAAGTCTTACAAAGAACATTTAACTGGGGCTGGCTTACAGCTTTAGAGGTTCAGTCCATTATCATCAAGGCAGGAAGCATGGCAGCATCCAGGCAGGCATTGCCCTGGAGGAGCTGAGAGTTCTCCGTCTTCATCCATAGGAAGCTAGGAACACTGTCCTCAGGCAGCTAGGAGGAGGGTCTCAAAGCCTACCCCACAGTGACTCACTTCCTCTAACAAGGCCACACCTAATCGTACCACTCCCTGGGCCAAGCGTTTTCAAACCACCGCAGCATCTCGCCCTCTTTTTCCAGCTGTCCTGAATTCCCTTCGCCAGCTCAGCACTTCCACCAGCATCCTGACTGACCCAAGCCTCGTGCCTGAGCAAGCCACACGGGCAGTCACGGAGGGGACCCTGGGCCGACCGTTATAATCTTACTGAAGGGTTCCAAGCTCCAGGAACAACGTGTGGACACGCCCCCTCTGGCCACGCCCCTCTCCATCCTGGCTGGCCCTCCTCCCCCCCCCCCCCCCCAGGGCTGGAAGATTCCAGGTGTTCCACTCACCACCTCCTTGGGGATGGAGAAGAACCTGGTTCCATCCCTTGCACTGTTGCTAATGCCAAGATCCCTGAGGATTCGTACCCCTTCTTTGGACCTCCCTTTAATAACAGAGGACCCCAAACGCATTAGCAGCTGCAGGCACTGGGGACCTAAGCAGGATCTCTTATGAGAGATGATGTCAGTCTGTTTCCTCAGAACTACCTGTTTTGGATAATGGGCACCACCCTTAGTTCCTGAGCGGGAAGGCAGAGCAGGAGATCGCCTCTCTTTGCCCCTGCACTGACATGGGGAGCTACAGGGTGGCTTCCTGGGTGAGGCCCCTGAGGTCTGATGCCAGGAGAGACCAGGGCAAGGGACAGCCAGAGTATGACAGGCATCTTGCATGAATGTAGGTGTGTGTGTGTGTGCATATGTGGATTTTATTAAAATAAATGTTCTTGATCAATAAAAGCAAAAACTGATGGCAAGGGCATTGGTGTGACTGACAATATGTCTCAGTGTGGGACTCAGAGCGGGCAACAGTGAAAGGTGACATTATAGGGGACCCTGTGGGTCATAAATAACCTTTGAGTACTTTCGATTTGTTATTTTTGTTTTTGTTTTTTTCAAGACAGGGTTTCTCTGGGTAGCCCTGGCTGTCCTGGAACTTACTGGATAGACCAGGCTGGCCTCGAACTCACCCCTGCCTCTGGAGTGCTGGGATTAAAGGCATGCGCCACCACCAGCCTGGCCCTTTGAGTACTTTACAATTTGCTTGTGTGCAGATGTGCTTGTATGTGGAGGTCGGCGGCTAACATGGGTACTCTCCTCGGTGCTCTCTGCCTTACTTTTAAAATGCTTGAGAATATATTTTAGGACTGGGATGGAGGTGCACACCTTTAATCCCAGTACTTGGGAGGCAGAGGCAGGTTTTTATGAGTGAGACCCAGCCTGTTTTGCATAGGGAGTTCCAGGCCAGCCAGGGCCATATAGTAAGATCCAGTCTGTATACATACATACACATGTACACACATGCAGGCACGCACATATACATACACACACACACATATACACATACGTATATATGTTTCTATTTGGGGGATTTTTTTTTTAGGCAGGGGCTCTGTAGTCTTGGCTGTCCTAGAACTTGCTATGTAGACCAGGTTGGTTTTAAACAACCAGATGCTCCTGCCTCTGTCTAAAAATATTTTAAATTACATTTACTAGCATGTGTATCCACGCATGCAGATGTCATACATGTGGAAGTCAGAGGATAACTTTTTAGGAAACAGTTCTCTCTTCCCTCCATGTAAGTGATGAGGAGTAAGCTGAGGTTATCAGCTTTGACAGACAGCAAGCGCCTTTACTGGCTGAGCCATCTCACCAGGCTCTCTGCCTTACTCCTCGAGGCAGGGTCCTTCATTGACCCTAGCACGCATCAGTTTGGCTAGGCTGGCTATCCAGTAAGCCCCTGAGATCTACATGTCTTTACCACACCAATAACGGGGTCACCACTCCTGGCTTTTAGATTTTGGTTGTAAGTCTGCTCTTTAATGACTGAACCATCTCTCCAGCCCCATTCCTGGAGATGTGTGTGTGTGTGTGTGTGCGCGCGTGTGTATGCATGTGTGTATTTTTTCCTCAAGGGTCTCACTGTGTAGTCCTGGTTGTTCTGAAACTTGCTCTGTAGAAAAGACTGGCTTTAAACTCACAGAGATCCATCTGCCTCTGCCTCCTTAGTGCTGGGATTAAAGGTGTTAAGGCCCCAGGGCCAATCCACAACTGCTAATAAGTAAATGAATCCATTTTTTTAAAAAATGGTGCTTCGCCGGGCGGTGGTGGCACACACCTTTAATCCCAGCACTTGGGAGACAGAGGCAGGCGGATTTCTGAGTTCAAGGCCAGCCTGGTCTACAGAGTGAGTTCCAGGACAGCCAGGGCTATACAGAGAAACCCTGTCTCGAAAAAACCAAAAAAAAAAATTTTAAAAATTAAAAAATAAAATAAAATATGGTGCTTCAAGAATTTTTACCCTGTAGTGGAGGTCAGGGTGGGAACTAGGAAACATACCCCTTGCCAGAAGGTTCCAATGCAAAACTAAAGTTCAGTTCCACCAATGCTCACCTTGGGTACCACTGAATAAGTTTGAGTGGCATGAAAGGAGGCACATTCGAAGGTTTGCATCCAGCAGGAATGGTAGCTTTCCCCATAGCTACATACATACTTCCTCCTTGCTTCCTCCCTTTTAGACAGTGTAGAGTGAGGTCTACAGTGGATGTATGTTGTTGACATGGCCACAGCCATGTTTAGAACCCCAGTGCCATAGAGTCATGGGAATGGCAGCCATTCCCTTGTGAAACTCAGAGGGATGTGAAAGCCTGACTCAGTGATCCAGGAAGGGCGAATGTTGACAAGTGTGTGCAGAAAATACCGAACACCATTTTCTCCTGCCCCCTCTCTCTGCTTCCTGCTTGTGTTTGAGGATGTGCGTCTCAACTTCCTGTTCTTACCATGCCTGCCCCCTGCAGTCACCCCTCCCTGCCTCGATGGATGCATCCCTCTGGAAACGTAAAACAAAATAAACTTTTTGTTAATAAGTTGCTTTGATTGTGGCATTTTATTACAGAAGCAGAATATTAACACACCTCCTCTCTGCCAAGCGTTCGGTAGTGATGCCCGGGTCTGCACGCTCTCTACGGCTACGTATAGTCTTGGCTGGCTTGGAACTTTCTCTATAGATCAGGCTGGTCTTGAACTCACAGAGATCCACTTGCCTCTGCCTCCTGAGTGCTGAGAGGATAGGCATACACTGCCATGCTGGCTTACATCCTGTTTTCCCTGACCCATCTCCTTCCAGAAGGCTCCTTCCTAATATCCCCCTTGCTGGCCTTGCTGGAGCACAGGTGTAATCTTTAGGAGGCTGCAGCAGAAGGGCAGGAGAGAGGCAGCTTGGGATACATGGTGAGTTCAAGGCTTCTGCTCACTGACCCGGATGTGATCTCTCAGTCGCTCCTGCCTTCGCTCTGCCGTCATGAACTCTAATGCTCTGCAATTGTAAGCCCAATTAAATACTCCTCTTCAAAGTTGCTTTTGTCATAGTGTTTTGTCACAGCAACAGCAAAGTGGCTAAGACATGCTCTGCTCTGTCTCAGCCTCCACCCCTGCAAGTACAGCCGGGACTCTACGTCCTCAACTCACCCCTCCCTCCACTCTCCTGAGTCCTGCTTCCTGTCCCCTGTCTGTCTTCACACTCGTGTTGGCTTGAGACTGGGCTACACACCCATGAGGGTAAGGGATGGCTGTATGCACCCTTCCTCCTTAACTTGGCTAGAGGAAGATAATTGATCTTGGTGTGTGGCCCAGCAGGGGTTGTCACTGGGGTTCTCTCTCTTGCTTCCTTGTTGACTGTGGTGTGTCCCTGTGGCCACAATCCATGACAGGAATAACTTAAGATGATTTATTCACGCTTGTGTTTTCAGATAATTGCAGTGCATTGTGGGGAGGAGATAACTGCAGACATGTAGAGCTGTCATGGCTTACCAGGATGTGGAGAGGCTGGGACCAGGATCGGACTCTAACCTTCAGGCAGCTGCTCATAGCAACCTACATCCACTAGCCAGACCCTGCTTCTAATTGTTTTTTGTATAGCACTTAATCAGGTCCTGAGGCTTGTCTCCTATCTTGTGACCCGACCTGTGGGAAGATGAAGTGAAACAAATGTCTTCTGAGGTCAGCAAGATGGCTCAGCTCATTCAGGGGCTTGCTGCCAAATCTGACAACCTAAATCCTATATCCTGGACTGAAGTGTTGGAGAAAAAGGACCAGCTCCCACCGGTTGTATTCTGGCCTTCAGAGGAGACCCCTCTCAGTATTAAAGCATACACTGCCCCACCCATGCATCTGTACAGGAAATGAATGTGATTTTAAGTTTAAATATATGAACATGTAAACTATTTGATGAGTGAAATGTGTGTACACATGTACACGTGTGTATGTGTGTTATATGCACATCTTCATGTGGGTTTGTCCATGTTGGCATAGGCATGCATGCAGAGACAAGAAGTTAACCTCAGGTGTCTTTCTCAGTCAGTCTCTAACGTCTCCTTCTTGCTTTCCTAGTGAGTTTTCCTTAGTAGTTGTATTATGATTCTGGATCCCAGGATAGGGACTATCGTGTACCCAGGTCCCTCTTTACTACCTGAGGAACACAGACAGAATGGAAGCAAACGGAGCCAGCACATCTCATGTCAGCAGTTTCTGACCTGGTCCAGCTGGGACGTGGCTGTCCAAAGCGTCATTCTGATAGTTGGTTTAGTCATGGTGCTGGCTCCTAAAGATGCCCCTTGGGGTTGAGTGAGCTCGGTGTGACCCTTAGCCAACACCAGCTTCTGTTATGAGATCAGGTTTTTCACTGAGCCTGGCTAATTCAGCTAAACTGGTGAACTAGCAAGCCTCAGGAATCTGTCCATCTCTGGGTCTTCAATACTGGGCTTATATATGCATGGTACCATGCCTGGCTTTTATGTGGGTACCGAGGAACTAAACTCAAACCATATGCTTATGGACCCAGAATCCTAATCCAACGACTAATAAAAACTCACTGGGTAGGTAGACTGGGGAAAGTTGACAAGTGAATGAGAAAAACAACTTCTTGCCAGTACATGCATTTATATAACTGTAAACATGGGCATACCACGTGCACACACACGTGCAGAGAAATTCATTTCATTCACCAAACACTTTACTGACTGAGCTATTCCCCTAGCCCTGAAGTGCTTCTTTAAAGAAAGAAATGTCACCATAGGATTGATAATAGATGCTTGTGATCCCAGCACTGGGAAGATTGAGGCAGGATGATCGATCATGAGTTCGAGGCCAGCCTAGACGACCTAGGGAGTTCAAAGCAAGTTATTTTCATACTGAGATCCTGTCTCAGAGAATCAAAGCAAACTAAATATCCTAGTTTCTTTTTCTATTGTTTGATGAAGACCCAAAGAAACTTCAAGAGGAAAGGGTTTATTTGGTTCAGGCTTCCCTGTGGCAGGAGGTCACTGAGGTGAGCCAAGGCAGGATCTCCGGGGGCTAGAACTGAAGCAGAGGCCACAGAGGGGTGTTGATCCCTGCCTCGTGCAGTTACCTTTCTTATATGTCCCGGACCCACGTGCTCAGCAGTGGAGTCACTGCAGAGTGTGCCTCCTCCCAGTCTCTAATTACAAAGATGCCCCACGGCCACGGCTACGAGGTAGTCTGATGGAGTCAATTCCTCAACTGAGATCCCCTCTTCCCAGGCGACTCTAGTTTGTATCAAGTTGAGAAAAAAAAAAAAAGTAAACAGCACAAGCAGACAAAAACCCAGACAGCTTTATCTGTAGATGGCAGAGAGGCCAGCACTCCTCACCCCACTGCCCAGATCTGAATCGATGCCAGTTCCCAGAAAAAGGGTGAAAGGGAAGGAAATGAGTCCTCTCTGCTCTGACTGGACGTAGTTCCTCA